GGACCTCTTCCTGGTCGCCAGCAGGCCAGGGAGGAAGCAAAACGGCGGAACACGCGGGCAGAGGGTAGCCCAGACGCGTCTGGGCTGTCCGCTGCCCGCGTGCTCCGCCACTTTGCTTCCTCTCCCTGGTCTGCTGGAGACCAGGGAGACGGGCCCCGTTCGTAACTGCGGATCCGACATAAGTCGGATCCGTGTAACTCGGGGACTGCCTGTAGTACCAAACCCCTGGCTTCAGATACAGATAAGACCAATGGTGAGATGGATCTGTTCCAGACGCGTCTGGGCTGTCCGCTGCCCGCGTGCTCCGCCACTTTGCTTCCTCTCCCTGGTCTGCTGGAGACCAGGGAGACGGGCCCCGTTCGTAACTGCGGATCCGACATAAGTCGGATCCGTGTAACTCGGGGACTGCCTGTAGTACCAAACCCCTGGCTTCAGATACAGATAAGACCAATGGTGAGATGGATCTGTTTACAAAGATTTGTCAGTACATATTTGCAAGAGTGCAAGAGCCATTCACCTCCATGCCCCAATGAGACCTCTGTGGACTGGTCAGACATGTTTTTCTGGTACAAATCAGTACTTGTGAAGGTAGAAGGGAAAAAAAATCAGAAAACTCAAAAGGGTTTAAATTTCAGGGCTTGTCTACACTGGCAAGTTTTGCTGCCCAAACCCCCTTTTTGGCAACAAAAACCAGACAGCATTCACAATGCAACGGAACAGAAGTCGCAAAAAAACGCCCAGTTTCAGCAACAAAAAAATTCCACCTCTGAGAGGGACTTTTGTCACTTCCCCTCCCTTTACTGTTGACAATCATACAGTGTGTAGGACAGTTAGTGATGGTGGGTATAGCCGTTAAACAATTAACTGATAAGCCTAGAGTTATCAGTTAATCCAAAGAACTAGACCCCACCCCTCCCACACTTGCCTCTGATACAGGAATTCAAGAAGTCAAGCTGAAAGTAGGAAAAGAAATTGAGTAGGCTTTGTATTTTCATCACAAGTATGAGTATTCCTTCTATTTCATAGAATAGCATCTGTTAAAGACAGATCTCTTCCTTGTGATCATCATTTTATCATTCTGGAAAATCCTGTTAAAGTAGTACTTAAGGAGAGGAGGATTTTACCCAGTATAATATGAACAGTTTATTATGTACAGCACTTTACAGTTTCTACAGGAGTTTAAAGCATTACCCTTACTCCTTCTCCAACATGAATTGCTTTCCTGTGAATGAAAGCAGCTATGAATAGCTATGAACCATTCAGTCTATGGGGAAAAAAGTCATCTTAATGGATGAGTCAATGCAACCAATCAGCATCCTATTATTGCATAAAAATCCCTCATTTAAATTATACACTATTACTCCATTCTTATATATAGCCTTCCATCTGCACACCTCCAGGAGATTTATAAAAGGTGGCCATCTGTTTTTACTGTACTCTGTTTTTTATAGAGGGGAAAAATTCAGGCACACAAAGATAATCCTTTTCACAAATTAATCAAATCAGATTTTAAGTGAGTTGTGGTGCAGTTTCTTCCATCACCCAGGCTATGTTTACACCACAAGGTTTCTGCGCAAAACCTAGCAGAGCATCCACACGTCAAGCGCGTTTTTGTACCAAAAAAACCCCAGTAAATCGACAGGACAGAGGGCTTTTGCCGGTAGTGTTATTCCTCTCCCCACGAGGAATAACTCCTTTTTCCGCTACAGCTCTTGTGCAAAAAGGCATGTGTGTATGCTCCTCAGGGGTTTCTGTGCAAAAAGAGCTCATCAGAAAAAGCACAGGTGCTCTGATGGCCATTTTGTTAATGGCAATCAGAGCTTTCTTGCGCAAGAGCGTCCATGCAGTGTGGACACTCTCTTGCGCAAAAGCACATTGCTTTTGTGATGTGCTTTTGAGGTGTGGATGTGCTTTTGCGCAAGATCTCTTCCACAAAAAGCTTCTTGCGCAAAAACCCTTTGCAGCACAGACAAAGCCTC